ACCTATCTACCTACCCACCTACCTACCTACCTACCTACCTTACCACCAACCTACCTACCCACTTACCTACCTACCCCTTCCTGCGTAATTATCTGCCAATGTAATAAAACGTAATGTTCTGATATTCTATCTCTTTTGCCTTAGATTTATTGTAAGAAATGTGGCCATTACTGGGGAGTGATCATAACAGTTGAAGAAACAGAATGGCCATGTCTGGAGATAGTTAGTTTCGTGACAACGTTCAACCATGGCAAAGAAAAAAAGAGCTTCAAAAAGTGGAAGGACTTGCCTATCAAGATATGTGACGCTACCCTGAAAGAAATGTTGACAGAAGCCAGCTAATCTGAAAGATAATGCTGGGATTAGAATCAGAATCGAAAAATCTCGTAAAACTATGATGTCACTTTTCCTCGTGATGATTATAGATTTACGGGCCATTAATTGAAAAAAATAACTTAGCTAATAACAGATTTTAGTTAATAACTATTCTGCAAAATACGTCAGTAAAAAGAGAGTAAAATATTGTAGTTATATGCCAATTAGTTTTTTAGTTATGGAGTCATTATACTTCTTAAAAATAAGTTATTTATGTAATATCCTCAGTTTATATTAGATTGTAATTACTTAAAAGGGGCACTTGGTGAAAATCGATGAAAATTGGAAATGACATGAAACTTGGTTACGCTTATCTATATGGCCCCAATAGTCGCCAAGCAACATATTTTCTTCACAGTAAAATGTGTCGTATAAAAATTATCAATTTTATTCAGCAYCTAAAATGTGAGTAAATGACGTCATTTACTCAACCCTATTGTTCTTTCTGCTTTTGAACCAAAATTTCTCAACAGCAAGTGGCTCCCAGGCTAAAATATCAACTAATCTGGTTTACGTAGTCATAATTGAGTCATATTATCCTCAAATACTTCAGTTAATTGGACTTTCAATTAAAATTGGGGCATTTTCATCCAAGTGCCCTTTTAAAGTATACCTAATGATCCATAATATAGAGTTTTTTGGCTAACAGTTTATGTATTATATAAAGCACGGAAAATAATGTTTCATCCGAATTCCGTGGTGCAAATGCACCACTTGCTCCAATCAAAAGATCAGCTGGTTGTTTTTACGTGGGGATGACTAGGATGTGGATGGGGCTATCCGATTGTCAGTTAACTACCAATGCTCTTACGAGTGCTGACTAAATATTAACCAAAAAAATGAAAAAATCAATTAACTGTTAGCTACTAACCCTTAGGACAATTGTCAATTAAACCCCATCCATACTCTCTCAATTGTTTGAGCTATAAAAGTAATTTCAAATCTATGTTTTCCCGATCAGTAAGTACATTATTTGCACCTTTGCTATCCCAAGGAACTCGGTGATATTTGGATAGATTTTCAAATGTTTTCATTTATTATTATATATTTTTTGAATTTTACATGTATCAGGAATCGAAGGAAATACATAATAACATTTATTTTAGTTTTAAACGATTTAGAAAAACGCTGACCGTAGATGAATTGTACTCAGGGGCTCAGTGGCGGATCCAGGGGGGGTCGAAGGGGTCCACGGACCCCCCTTGAAGGTTTGATCTTTTAGGCAATAGACTATATGTCTTATATAAATTTTGCTTAAAAGTATCCATAAGGACAATGTTGAACACGAAATGATAGATATTTGCTGTTATAATGTTTAATTTACCTTTAAGTTCCGTTACTAGATAGTAAATTAGGTGATTAGAACCAATTTGTTTGTCAAACATCGACTAAACAGAAGAGAATTATACACAGTTTAAGAAACGGAACCCCCCTTTGAAAAATCCTGGATCCGCCACTGGGGCTTCTTACTAAACTCTATAATCAAGTATCCAGTTTATTTTTTCTTTCTATAGTAGATGTCCTTCAAGTTGTTGATCCTCTCCTTAAGCAAAGCATATCTTTTCTTGTACTCTTGATCGCCTGCACCCTAATACGACCAGGAAAAAAGATAGCGATGAGCGATCAAAAACTGCCAAGAATTCCATGCAAACTACTATACCTTCTATCAGTTTAATTGCATAACAAATTGACAAATAAAACTTTGAAGGAAGGAAGGATGGAATGAAGGAAAGCATTCAAATAAGTAAATAAAAGAAAATGCAAAGAGAAACTTGCGAGTTCTTCGATTTGAACATTCACATACGGCATTTGAAATTTTCAACTCTACAGCTTATAATTTTGTCCCTGAAACTAAGCCACTGATCTGGTGGGATTTATGTAACGGCCAACCTGTCATTTAGAGCTTGGATTCTGTTTATATGATAATGTTTATAAGAACCTTACATTTAGAAGCACACTTCGTTTGCCACTGCATTTAGCATTACACCCCGGCAAGTCCGGAAACTTTCCACAATGCAAAGGTGGACATATCATGCTGTATGCTGTGCTATCATGACCGTTACAGCGAGAGAAACGAGTAGAACTTTAAACATGTTTGCCTTTCTTTCCATCAGCAGTTCAAGATTCTTTCTTAGTGTGGTCGTTTGTTCCAAGAATAGTTAGTGCAAAAGCAACAGTAATATATATATTGTACTAGCGGTGATTAATACTCAGCCGGTTTTCAGCGGTACGTCGTTTGATTTTTTGTGTTATATAAATTTTTCAAGTTTATTCAAGGATTTTTTCTCGTAAAAACGTTTTCGCGGCCGAAAAATTGAAGGATTTAGTTCTTAGGATTTATTTTGTTTTATTCAAGTTTATTTAAGTTTTTTCTCTCGTAAAAACCTAAAGGAAAGGCTTGTAAGAAGGGTAAAGGGATCCCATAATCTCTACCGATCCTGAGTAGTGAGCTCTTCAAAGGGCGGTTTGACAATCAGTTTCTTCTATTCCTTCAAAGTCAACCAGAAGGATGATCATTCAATATTATAGATTTAATTTTTTATCTATTTTCAATAAATTTTGAGGGCATTATGTCCTGAAAGTTCTACTTTTTCAAACCCTCAAATGATCGAAATAAAGCATTGAGTTCAAGTTCACTGATTTCGTGGCTAAAGGGGTGATTAAGTCAAACCTGTCTATAACGGAAAAATATATACTGCTATTTCTCCTCATTTTTCTAACAACTTGTCTGGATTTTTAAAGATGTATTTACCATACTATGACGTATTACCATACTGTCATTTTTCTAACAACTTGTCTGGATTTTTAAAGGGACATTCCTGT